TTCTTAAAATAAGTTTTGAAAAAATTATAATTGATTTTTAAAAGAATTTCAAACTGAGATTTTCATTTTTTTATAAAATGGATAAAAATGGTTGACATGATTGATTATCTGTCAATTTTTCTGACTCAATAAACAAAAAAAAAACAAGATTTTTAACGAGAATTTTTAACGTGCCAGGAATGATTACGAAATGTAAAATAATACCCCCAAAATACTTTGATCTTTCCTCTTAATAATAACATAGACATTTAGGCGATAAAGTCTTTTTCGTCATGCTATGCTCTTTTTTTAGCGATCTCATGGAATTACCTAGATTAATGCAATTATTATTTAATTGTAATTTTCTAAAATATCTATGTATTTATTTATTTTAAGTAATTGAAGGTTTTGATCTAACCGTTCTCTTTTCATCTTTTTCATTTTTATGGTCCTGTATGTTGACTTTGGAATAATAACTGTGAATGCTAATGTTCTGTCTGTTTTTTAAAATTATCCTGTTTAAAGAGTCATATCCGTTTAAGGCACAAATGCGATTTAATATATATATATATATATATATATATATATATATAGAGAGAGAGAGAGAGAGAGAGAGAGAGAGAGCGTTGGGTAAAGTATCACCATTTTATATTTTTATTTTCGCGTTGTTCGTCTTTGATTTTGTCGACTGCACAGTATAACTGAGTCAGTTGGGCACCGTCTGTGAGTAAAGAGCACCATGATGCAATTCTCTCCACCAGACATTTGGAAACGGCATGCAGTACGGCTTGGCATTCGCGCCGGAAGCTTCAATACGAACATTTCAGAGTGTTTGGGTGTCAATCTGAGGACAGTTCAAAGGATTCGGAAAGAGGTGGATGAGTCTGATGGCGATTATGAAAGTGTTTATAGTGATCACTATTGATGGCGACGTTATGCCTTCATTAATCTTCCCACAGGCCGTCAAGAAGAAATGCAGGAAATTCCGAAGTCGCCTGAAGCTTATGGATGAAGCCAATGGCGATTTTATTGAATAAATTTACTTTTTCAAGATATTTTTGCGGAACTTTGGTAAATATATCTGTAATTTAGGCGTCAATTTAGCCATCGCACTCTATATATAGCCACTACACAAAGTGTTGTCACAACAACAGAATACTTGCCATGCGGCCAAAAGTAAACACAATAAAAAAAAAAACTAACGACAAAGGAACAAAATAAGAAACTAAGGAAAAAAACCCCAAAAAACAACAACAACGACAAAAAAAAAAAAAAAAACCCAGACATTTACCGAAAAAAAGAAAGAAATTAACAGTGTTCAATGCCCAAGAGACAATGTAGAGGAATGTTACTAAAATTTGTATTTGGTTTGATTTTTATGTTCTCGTGTGTATGCGCGTATAGAACATTCCTGGTTTTCTGTGTGCGTAGGTGAAATGAAGTAAGTAATAATTTAGTTTCGGTTGGATTTATCATTAAAGCAGTTCTCACGTATATTTTTGAAAAGTTTTAAGTGTATATTTTCATTATTTTATTTATTAATTTAGATTAATGAATAATGCATCTGTAGAAAGATGGTGATGTGATATAATGTTTTATAGTTGGTAGTAACGCTATAAATATGTTTTCTTAATATTTTCTCCTTAAAGGGTTATGTTCCTTTTTAATTAGGCTGGCATGAATGAAATCAAAGTTATGTTCCACGTCGTTTCGATATAAAACGAGAGTTAGAATGTCTGTCTAAAGACAAGTCTCTCTTGTGTTCATAGGTACAGGTTTTTAGATCACGTGATGTCTCCCCCACGTAAATGTTTTTGCAATGTAGACATTTTATATAATAAATTCCAGCATTTGAGATGGTGTTCAGTTTATTTTTATTCTTGACTAGGAGTAGAGCCCGGCGTTGCCCGGGGATGTAACAGTAAGTGTTAGATCAAGTATCGACCATTATAAAGACTGAAAAATAAAATTGACAAAGATTATTGTTTAAGGTTGACGGACACGCATGTCTTAATTAGTTTTTTTTTTTTTTTTTTTTTACGAATTGGTCAAATCCAAACTTAAACAAAAACATTGTTTTCAATCGTTATGAGTCTACCGATTGAATAGAATTTTATCATAAACAATTGTCTTGTAAATGGAATTTTTAAAGCATTCTGAATGTAAAAATAAAGAAAAAAGTGTGCAAGACAATAAGAAACACTACCTTCCCCCCAAAAAGTGAAGTTTTGTTAAAATAGGTTGAAAAATGTAGGAAATCTGATCCCATATATAAACGAACACACACACAAACAACCCGGGTTTTAAAATAAGTATAACTCGATATGAGTTGTCCCCCTTTCATTCTCGCGGTGCCTTTCAATCGTGTTTTCAAATTGATTTTGTGCAAAAACAATTGTGTTTTTCCAATTTTTGGCGCTGTCAGAACCACCACAAGGTAATTTTACGTAGTCCTGTGAAGTTTTGTTGAAATCGGTTGAAAGATGTAGGAAATCCGATCCAATATATAAACGTACAGACACACAGACACACAACCTGGGTTTTATAATAAGTATGATTATATTGCCGATAGTCTTGGAGGTTGTGGTAACAATCCTAGTGGTAGGGATGGCTAATTCGTTTGCGAGTTTAGTTGAAATGGTTTTGGAGGCCAAGTTTATGAATTTTATGTAATTTTTGGAACTATCTTTATTTATTTATTTATTTTTGTTATATGGATATTGTGAGCTTGTTTTTTTTTAGCGTTGAGGATGAAATGGCGGGGCGAATGGAGAAACCCGAACTACCATCTGTATGGGCCCGTTGTGATCACCAGAATCTGTTCACTGCCTACGTCTATGGATGATGCTTGCGAAAGTGCCCTTATATCTATCTCAGAGCCCCAGGTTGTATGAACGCCACTAATTAGATGGCATCTGCCTAAGAGTGTACTCCCAGCCTTTGTGAATATTTATGCTGACGATACAACGGTATAGGGGTGCACCTCCAAAATTCTAGATGAACAGATCCTGACAGCTGATCTCTACTCTGACCGAGCTCTAACAGATCAGTGGGGGAAAACTGTCTGGTCACATTCAGTGCCTCGAAAACCAAACTTGTGATGTTCCAATTTTCACCTATCGTTATCAAAGGGTGTTCTTTCTTTTATTGTACATAATGTTACTTTAGGAGTTTTTTTTAAATCATTTCACCCCATGCGAGGCGATAAAGCCACGAAGTTGGAAAAGTCTGATGGTGATGACAGTTAATTATCCTCATTATCAACAAGCATTTTTAATGTTTTTACGCAAGCGGTTACTGAAGGGAAAGAAATAAAGAAAACAGTAAAAGAACATAATTCAGTGAGACAGAAAATAGCGATTGATATTGCATTTATACTTTTGAATATCGTAATTTGCAAGGGGGCAAGAAAGTGAAAGAGAGTTGTACAAGTGAGAAGTGCGAGAGAAAAAAATCTATTTTAGCGTTTCCTAATTGGTACGCCAATGTGTTGGGATGTAAAAGGCATCTTTCATAACGATATCTTTTATAAAGTCATATTTCATAAAGACATCTTTTTGTTTTAGACAAGGTTGAAGTAATTTCTATATGTGAAGAGAACATTCTTCCAATGAAGTTGGGATAATATTTTTGCTATACTTTTCGCTTGTCTATTTAAATATCTGGCAAGTATTTTAACAGACGACGGAAAATGCGACACCGAAATCCGAAGCTGCATTGGGATAGACAAAGGACGTCTCCCAATAGTTAAGCAAAATAAAAAAAAAATATTTTTAGAAACAAAGAAAAGAATACTGAAATGTTAGATAATATTAGTCCTCCTATATGGCAATAAATGCTGGACAATCTCCTTACAGATGAAGAAGAAATTGGAAGCAACAGAAATATAGCTCTACAGCAGGATGCTGAGAATACCATGGACCGAATATTTAAGCAACGTCAAAGTTTTAGAGAGAATTGAGACAAAAAGGATACTTATACTTAACATCAGGAAGAGGTTGGAATTTCTAGGGCATATAATGAGAAAAGAAGAATTAGAAAATTTGATACACCCAAGACAGATTGAGGGGAAGAGCAATAGAGGAAAACAAAGGATGACCTATCTAACGAGCTTGTGTAAATGTATGGCAGAAGAAGGTATATAGAAATATAAAAAAAAAAAAGATAAAATTCATTAAGGAGAGGAAATCCTGTAGAAACATTACCGTCAACGTCCTGAAGGGACAGGGCTCGTGGAAGAAAGTGAACAGGCGAGAAGAACTGACAATGGCAGTTATAATAGATCACCTAGCATTACCTGATATGTATTTTTTCCTAGACTATTAAGTCTGGCTATTTTAAAGAAATATTCGATCAAATTTGACAGTTACTTATCCTCATTATCAACAAGCTTTTTTAATTTGTTGAATTATTTTTTGTGTCTCGGAAATTATTTTCTGTGAATCGATTTTTTTTTTCATTAAGTAAAAATTTCATCTTTTTTTTTTTCATTATAAATATTCTTATTCATGTTAAAAATCTAATCTCCTTTGTCTTGGGTATTGATGGAAATGTTCTTTTGGATAATTTTAATATTTTTTTTATATGTCGTTTTGATTGTTTCTAATGTAGCGGAGATTATTCTTTGGGTGAAAACCTTTGTGTCTATAATACCTTCATTTTTTTTCAACCCATTATTGGCCAATTTCCCCAAATGTCAGCATTAATGCGTTTATAGAAAACTGTAATTAATAACTGACTTTTATAAAACTGTAATACTTGATACTTCTTATAAAATTATAAAACGATTTGTTTTTAACGGCTTAAGAACCTTTTGCCGGTTATTTGAAGACAGAAAATATTTTTAGACTGCAAAAAGTTTGGGAGATGATGATGATGATGATTTACTGAAAAAAAGTACTACTAATTAACCCACAGATGGGGGGGAGAAGAGTTGGATTCCTACCTTTCCCAAGGATATTTTCAGGTAAGGCAATATAAAGAACCCGATCCGTTACACATTAAATCACCGCAAATCCAAGCTTACAGCATCTGGTATTCTCAAGCTCTCACCAACCTAGATACAGACCAGGCACGACGTTGCTTAACTTCGTTGATCGTACGAGAACCAATGTTTCAACGTGATATGGCCGCGAGCACAGAAAGTTATAATAAATAGAGGATATTTAGCTTAATTTTCATAGTTAATACTGAATTTTACTTGGTTTCAATGTGTTAAGACTTTTGCAAACACAAACCATGAAGTTCTCGGTTTCGAACCAATTTGCAACCAGGATTTACATCTATCTATCTATCTATCTATCTATCTATCTATCTATCTATCTATCTATCTATCTATCTCAGTCTGTTCATATCGATCTAACCAAATCTGTTCAAATCTATCCCTTCATATTCGTATCTATCTATCTATCTATCTATCTATCTATCTATCTATCTATCTATCTATCTATCTCAGTCTGTTCATATCTATCTCAGTCTGTTCATATCTATCTATCTCAGTCTGTTCATATCTATCTATCAAATCTGTTCAAATTTATCCCTTCATATTCATATCTATCTATCTAAATCTGTCTATCTAATCTATCTATCTATCTATCTATCTCAGTCTGTTCATATCTATCTATCTCATCTGTTCTATCTATCTATCAAATCTGTTCAAATCTATCTATCTATCTATCTATCTATCTCTATCTATCTATCTATCTATCTATCTATCTCAGTCTGTTCATATCTATCTAACCAAATCTGTTCAAATCTATCTATCTATCTATCTATCTATCTATCTATCTATCACAGTCTGTTCATATCTATCTCAGTCTGTTCATATCTATCTATCTCAGTCTGTTCATATCTATCTAACCAAATCTGTTCAAATCTATCTATCTATCTATCTATCTATCTATCTATCTATCTATCTATCTATCTCAGTCTGTTCATATCTATCTCAGTCTGTTCATATCTATCTATCTCAGTCTGTTCATATCTATCTAACCAAATCTGTTCAAATCTATCTATCCCTTCATATTCGTATCTATCTATCTATCTATCTATCTATCTATCTATCTATCTATCTATCTATCTATCTATCTATCTATCTCAGTCTGTTCATATCTATCTATTTACCTATCAAATTTTTATACATACATTAGTTATACATAAGTATATACATAATTAATCAGTGAATATATATATATATATATATTTCGGGAGCAATAATTCTATTTAGCGTTTGGTTTAATAATATGAAAAGGTTCTCTAACAGTTTTTTATTCAATTTTTCAAAATTCCAAATACAGTGTTTTGTGTTATAGGTAAATTTGCCATCGTTCATATTTATTTTATATTATTTTCTTCCTGAGTACTTTCGAATGTTGCTACATTCATCTTTAAGGATTGTTCTGTGTATATTTACGGTGTTCTCAAGTTGACTTTTATAAAGGGGTAAACTAAATGCAACATTGTCTTCATCTGGCTAATTTCTTAGGAGGCATTTCTATAGTACTCTGCACACACACACACACACACACACACACACACATATATATACACACACACACATACATATATATATATATATATATATATATATATATATATATATATATATATATGAACATAACAACAAGAATAGAATTCTATTTTTAGCCATACTACTGATTCAAATAATACAAACATTGAAACTTTTTATTTAAAAAACAATCAATTCAAACCTATACTACCTTAACTACAATAGCGAATGGCCACACAAATGCAAAATAGCCATCATAAATAATGGAGAACATTTAATATTCTATTCACGTTTCTGTAAGGAACACAATAAAAATCCCTAACCCTGTAATAGATAAACAATTCATATTGAGAAGAAAAATAACAACAATATAAAGAATGAACACATTAATCCCAAAACAAAATAACCCTGAACTAGACGAACAAAGTTTAAGGAACATAATACATCGATGCATATAACCTCTACCTACAAAAGCAAGCAAATAAAAATCATTACTTACTCCAGAAAACCTCATGACCAATGAAAGAAGACAGAAAAATGTAAGTTAAAAAATCAATATTGTCTACGAATTTGTTTGTATTCTTGGAGAATGCCTCTTTAAAAATAATCAAATGTTTTCTCTCTCTAACAACGCTAAAAATTAAAACAATACTATTATTGGTTACACTATTTCTGCATATTCGGGCTGGTTAATTTGTCATTTATCCGATTATAGCTCAAGTACGTAGTTTATCATAAATTAATACATCACTAAACGAAAAATCTGACAAATTCTCATCAATAATTCAAGAATACTATAATATACAGATTGTCAAAAACATTTACAAATGTGATAAGTTTTAAGTATAAAAAAAGAAAGAAACCAGTATCAGCAAAAAATTTCATTAATTTCAGGAACAAATATAATAATATACGTATCACCCGCCCAGCCAAATAACAATCGAAGCTCAGAAACAAACATGTGAAGATGCAATATTTGAAACACTTGAGATAACACCCACATACGCATGGAA